TCGTGTGGTTTCTGAAAGGTTGCAACCTTTCGGAATTCAGAACTAGTTCCTCTTGGCTATAAATACCTATTATTCTTCAGACTTTTTACTTACGAAATTTTTTGATTTCTTCTTCTTCTTCTGCACAAATATTTTTCGCTGAGTAGCTCGCTGACACCAACATTTTGGGTATCAATACACTAGTGATTGAGATCATTCTATCCTGGGAGGACATATCCCAAATCAAACCTTGGATACTAGAGGGGAATTATTTCCTTAAGGGGACACTGTGCTTTCAGTGGGCTTGTTCCTTTTCCGTTCTGTCTTTTCCAGATTCTGGTATGTTTTATAGATTTTAATTTTTGTGAATTAATTTATGTTCTTCTGTTCTTCACTGGTTCATTGGAAACTTTGGTAACTTTGTGTTTCTGCAAAGTTTCTGATAATGAGTATTACTGTTTTTTAAACACAGATTGGCAACAATCTTAAGGAAATTATTTATTTTTATTTTTATTTGTGTTTCTGGTGGAGACAAAAACCTTCGTGGTTTTATACTGCTATTAAGTTTGCAATTTAAGTTATTACTTACTGAGTCATTTGTATCAATTTATGTTTATTACAGATTCTGAAATGGCAAATGATAAGGTTACGGTGGTTGTTGCTGCACCAACACGAACTGCTGTACCACCAGCAGAGAAACCGGAAAAATTCTCTAGTGTGAATTTCAAAGGATAGCAGCAATGGGTATTTTTTTGGCTTACCACTCTTGGTCTGAAGAAATTTACCAATGAAGTAACTCCGGTGCCTGCTGCTGAAATGCCAGACAGAAAAATTCATGATTATTGAAGCATGGAAACAGGCTGACTTTTTATGTAGGCTACATTTTGAGTGCTTTAGAGGATGACTTATATAATGTCTATAGTGCAATGACAACTTCGGAAGAATTGTGGGATGCACTTTAGAAGAAATATAAGACAGAAGATGCATGCTTGAAAAAGTTTGTGGTCGCAAAGTTTTTAGACTATAAAATGTCAGATAGTAAAACTGTTGGATTACAAGTGCAGGAACTTCAACTTATTTTCCATGATCTGATTGCTGAGGATGTGGTAGTAAATGAAGCTTTTCAAGTGGCTGAAATGATCGAGAATTTACCTCCTTCGTGGAACGACTTCAAGAATTATCTAAAGCACAAACGTAAGGAAATGAAGCTTGAAGAACTTGTGATTCGGCTCAAGATTGAGGAAGATAACAAAATCGCCGAAAAGAAGTCTCGTAAGAGTTCAACAGTAATTGGAGTTAATATTGTTGAAGAAGCTCCTACCAAAGGCAAGAAGAGAAAGAAGTCCAACAAACAGAAGTCAGAACAAGCCAAGAAGATATTCAAGGGTAATTGTTATAACTGTGGTAAGGCTGGTCACAAGTCTTCTGACTGTCGTGCTCCAAGAAAGGACAAAGACAAAGACAAAGACAAAGACAAAGACAAAGACAAAGACAAAGACAAAGACAAAGACAAAGACAAAGACAAAGACAAAGACAAAGACAAAGACAAAGACAAAGACAAAGACAAAGACAAAGACAAAGACAAAGACAAAGACAAAGACAAAGACAAAGACAAAGACAAAGACAAAGACAAAGACAAAGACAAAGACAAAGACGTACACTCATGCTGAGTTCGATGAAGATCTGTTCATGGGGAACACAGCAACAGCAAGGATTGCAAGAACTGGGAAAGTAATGTTGAAAATGACATCCGGCAAGGTGTTGATTCTGAATAACGTTTTGCACGTTCCTACTATTGGGAAGAATTTAGTTTTTTCTGCACTCCTCATTAAGAACGGGTTTAAGTGTGTCCTAGTTAGTGACAAAGCTGCAATAAGTAAGAATGAGATGTTCTTAGGAAAAGGCTACCTCACTGAGGGCCTCTTCAAACTGAATGTAATGGTTGTTGACAGTATTAATAAGAATTATGCTTCTGCTTACTTATTGGAGTCAAATGATTTATGGCATGCCCGTTTGGGACATGTAAATTACAAAGCCTTGCGAAAATTGGTTACTTTAGAAGTGTTGCCTGATTTCAAATGCGATAAATCGAAATGTGAAATTTGTGTAGAAAGTAAGTTTGTTAAACATCCTTATAAGTCAGTTGAAAGAAATTCAAAACCTTTAGACTTAATTCACGCAGATATATGCGATATGAAGTCGACACCATCTCATGGTGAGAAAAAGTATTTTATAACTTTTATTGACGAT